AGAAGGTGAGAGGCGGGGCCGCCGACCGACCGGTCGGCTGGCGGCCATCTCCAGCCAACTCACCCGGCGTGATTGTCCATGCGTCGTCCTGGTCGAGGTAGAGCTCCATTGTCCCAGCTGAGAGAGTTCTCCAGTCCGGTGCATCGCCCCCAGATGACCTGGAGCTCACCATGCATCGTCCCAGCTGAAGCACTGGCCATGAGCCATCTCATCTTGAGATGGTGCCCCCACTCCATGTGTTCAGTCGTCTGAGCCGGAGCCCCTCGTGTGTCGTCCCAGTCGTGCTGCGGCTCTCTCGCCATCCCAGCTGAGCCAGAGATTTCCAGCTCCCATGTGCCGCCCTCCTGGGCCAGAGCTCCCCACGTGTTATCCCGACTGAGTCAGAGCTTCCCTCTTGTTGTCATAGCTGAGCCAGAGCTTCCCATGTGTTGTCCTCGCTGAGCCAGAGCTTCCCACGTATTTTCCCAGCTGAGCCAGAGCTTCTAACGTGTTGTCCCAGCTGAGCCAGAGCTTTCCAGTTTACACGCGTTGTCCCGGCCGAGCAAGAGCTTTCCACATGTTGTTCTGACTGAGCCAGAGCTTCCCTCTTGTTGTCCTAGCTGAGCCAGTGCTTCCCACGTGTTGTCCTTGCTAAGCCAGAGCTTCCCACGTATTTTCCCAGCTGAGCCAGAGCTTTCCACGTGTTGTCCCAGCTGAGCCAGAGCTTTCCAGTTTACACGTGTTGTCCCGGCTGAGCAAGAGCTTTCCAGTTTAAACGTGTTGTCCCAGCTGAGGAAGAGCTTCCCATGTATGATTCAGATTCAGCTGAGCCCCCGGGTATCGTGCCAGCTAAGTTGAATCTCCCGCGTGTCACCCAATCTGGGCTGGAGCTCCGCGGGTATGCCGGCTGAGCTGGACCCCCGCGTGTCACCAGTCTGGACTGGAGCTCCCCACGCGTCGTGCCGGCTGAGCTCCGGCTGCCAGCGAACTACGAGCGGCTGTGGCCTGACAGCGTTCTCGGCAGGCAGAGAGGCCGGCGGGCAGCCGGCTCAGATGGGCTCCGGCGGCAGCCGGGCGCGGGTGACGACGGCCCGGCCGGCAGCCCGCGGCGCCGCCGGCTCTCTCGACCTGACCCGGCCGCGCTCCCGGGACGAGCAGCTGGCCAGCCAGATCCCCGACTGTGAGCTCGGCGTGAGTGTAGGCCGCTGCCCGGAGAGTCGTCGCCAGTGGGCTCGGCAGGGTGGCAGCGCAGCAGTTAATAACGGGAATCGTAGGTGGCGGTACACAACGGCTCCGGGTGGAGTGATGAAATACCCTGGCCTTTTGTTGCACTAACTCTGGGCTTGAACAGGAAGATATTCCTACAAAGGAAAAAAAACGGAAAGTTCTGGTGTTGTCAGCTGCTTGTTGCTATTTTTCTTTCTGAAAGCAGAAATCAAAATGATTTTAGATGTTTGGGACTTATTCCATGTCCAAATAATTGCAACCTATCTATTGTATTATTGTTAGTGCGTGAACAAACGCTACCGCTGTATGCCAGGGACAAAAAAGTATGAAAACATGCACCAAAAAACTGAAGTACCCATTGATCCGAATGATTTATTTTCCACCAACCTGCACTTGACCTTGACCTGATCTCTCCGATTTGACACCGAAGCTACCTTATAAGCAAGCATTTAAGTGTCCTCTTATCCCGGTTGCTGAGGAAAAACTGAACGTGGTTTTCGAACAGCCTTTGATCTTTTCCGATCCGACGCTTGGTTCCTGAGATAACACGTTGGGAGATCAGATCCAACCACTAGGCATCAATTACGGTTGGAAGACTGAAAAATCAGTTATTTGTTATCGAGCATGATATGATTCAACGCTTACAGGATGGGCATTTCACCAGTCCCTTAGTGTTCGTTTCCAAAAAGGAAGTAAATTTCACTAAATGTGTTTTATTGTTTGCTGCTGTTATATACGCTCAACTCATCGCGGTGAAGTAGTCTAAAATGGCAACTTTTGCTGTCGGTGTTCCTGAGAATGTATGCAGTGTGTATGCATTAAAGAGTGGAAACCTTGCGTTTCCACAGACTATTTCTCATATGCGTGTAAAAGCAGCAGACATTACGACCCACTTCCATTCTCCAAAGTACTTATGTTGTGTCTCGGTGTAATATTAATGTTCCAAAGACGGCATTAAGTCATAAATAACATAAAAGGTATGGTGAATGAAACAACATGACTCTTTCAACCGTTCGACCTGAAAATATACTTGTGAAAAATTGCATTATTTGATCATTATTTAAGTTAGAAGTGGACTTTCTAATTAGTTCCCAGCTTCTCCGCTACGGGCGCAGATTTCCGTGTTCCGACGACCCGTTCTCTTTTATTTGGGTAAATAAGGTCAACTGAAAGAGAAAAGAGCCTTCGTTCGGTGGAGGGAAGTTGGCAACGTACGCTGTCAATAAGCCGTCATTGAACAGTGGGTATTTTACGAAAAAGGCGATGGGTGCGCTTGTCGTGACGTTACTGCAGTTTCCCGGGTTTGCTTCACCCGGCTGGGAATAACAAGCGACATCTGACCGCGATACTCACGCTTAGCGGCACTAGATTTCGTCACCAAGTCGTTATCCTCTTACACCATTATCCTCTTGCACGGATGCCGTGAGTCCCGTCCCGCAACTTTGGGCACTCGATCCGAGCTGACGCCGCGCGCCGTGGCGGCGAAGCTCGCCGGTAGTTCAGACGCGTTTGAGCCGTGCAGTAACGGCCGGGCGTTGGCAGGAATCTCTGGACGCTCCGAGCGGCGCGCTGCTGTTCAGTGAGCTGCAGTCGCACTCGGCTCCGCCCGCTGAGAGCGAAGACAGCGGCGCCTACGAGCTTGAGCCGACCTACGCGCACATGGTGACGGAGAACTCGCCACCGGACCAGGTGGCACAGGTGGAGCACGAGTTCCGCCCGCCCCACCAGCTCAGTACGTGTGCCTCCCCCTGCCCCCACCACCACACCACACCACACGAACACAGCGAACCTGCCCGACCGAGTCGCCCGGCCGCCTCCCTGTTGACGGCTGCAGACCGCGTCTTGGTCAGATGAAGGTGAAATGACCGCATACATCTCCTTATCACGCGTGCTCGACCAGACATAGCAGTGGTCAGGAGGAGGCCGGCCACTTCCAGGTCGCGTCACACCGAGACTGGGCCGGCCGAAGGTGACTGAGCATCCCCCGACCGCACCACCCGCGTGCCTTCAGAGCTGGAGGTGGTCGGGCGGGCGGTGACCCGGCTCCTGTCGGGCTATCAGAAGAACCGCATGGAGGAGAAGCGGATCCTGCAGTCCCTGCGCGAGGAGGGGCTCATCGCCACGCCCAAGTCATTGACCTCCAGTGGACTGAGGTACGGCCGGCGCACTCCGCTGCTCAGCACGCTCAGGTCCGGCGGCAGCCGTCGCGTAGGGCGGCTGTCCGGCGGCTGGCTCCCTGGGAACCCGTGTGCAGCTGGAGCAAAATTTGTATTGATAAAACAAGCAAAGAACTTATATTTTTGTATTCAAGGGGTATTCGAGAGTCGGGTCATTCATGGTCGTCTGGGTGATTGATATGGATGTCAGCTGTACAGTAGGACATTTTTATCTATTTACTGCCGTTGTGAACGACGCGACTGCTCCACCTATTTGCGAGAAGATAGCGGGCTCAATGAGCTGGTTAAACGCATGAACTTCTTAGGCAAAAATCGAAGTCTCCATAAGGATGCTTAGTTGATAGAAAATACTGGTGTCAACTTTGAGCATCTCAAATTAAAGATCTTACCCAGCGGCATAGTTTCGTAAAACAAGGTTGGGGTTTCAGAAGGGAAACGGGGCTAACCCTACCACATTACATATACCAAAACGGATTTCTTCACAAATATGCAAACCCATCTCCTCAAAATTGGGGAACTGGATATCTCCGCTTCTAATGAATAGCAAACTGCGTCTCTGGTCTCAGCTTCCACCTCGAAGTCCCGCAGAGAGCCAAAGCATTCCCACTGTCAGCATCGGCAGCTGATGGCGAGTGACCGTTTGTCGCCCCGTGGTGCGGCGGCAGTTTCGAGATCGTCGACGCGGCGGCGGCGACGCGCTGCCCGTCGGGTCGTGTGGTCTCAGCGGCGCCGGCCCGCCTGCCGCCGGAACCGGCAGCAGCGGCTGGACGCCCGTCGGCTGCGGAACCTCCGCCAGCGCCCCCGCCCGACGTCGACCAGCAGGAGAAGGAGCAGCGCAGAAAGGTGGGCGGCGCCCGCGTCACGGGCGGGTCCTGGCGCCGGGTCACTGTTGGGACAGCGGCAGAACCAGAGGCCAGGTCACGGCCGGGACAGGGGTCAGGTTATGGCCGGGACAAGTGTTAGGTCCCACCCGGAGCAGAGGTCAGGTCACGGCCGGGGCAGGGGTCAGGTCACGCCGGGCAGGGGTCAGGTCACGGCCGTGACAGTGTTCAGGTCACGGCCGGAGCAGGGGGCAGGTCACGGCCGGGCAGGGTCAGTCATAGCTG